AGTTGTTGTAATTATATGATTTTTTTTATAAATTGCCTGAGTTACCCATGTGTAACTTGCATCGCCTTATGATTGTAGCTAAAATCCCACCATTCGAGGCCAACTCCCTATCATGTCAAAGCCCCGATGTCCATGTCTTTCTGGACTCAAATATGATCAGAAAACATCGAACATCCAGAAAAATCATGAAAAATCCATCAAAAATCCCTTGAAATGTCCATGAAAATCCCCAAAATCCATCAAAAATCCCTTGAAATGTCCATGAAAATCCCCAAAATCCATCAAAATCCCTGACTTCCAAAGGCCGAGTCGGTCAGCGCACCTGATACCTCTGGGCTGCCTGCGCCTGCCGCTGCGTGCTGCGCCTCAGCTGTTCCGCAGCGGCTTCGGCACGCAGCTCCTGTGTCAACGGCACGGGGAATGACCATGGTTAGTAAGTCCCCTAACTGGGGGTTATCCACGGTTATCCCATTTATAAGGGGGTTATAACATGTTATAACCCCACGAATCCCACTTCCTAAGTGAGATACATTCGTGATGATCCTCCAAGCAGTTGGGGATGCAGTTGGGCTGCCTTTCATGGGTATAACATGGTATAACCATGGGATTTTGAACTCCATAAGTTGAGCTGTAAGCCTGTAACTATGGTTATTATATATCCAGATCCACTCGTAGCTAGAACTGCACCGCCAGGTAATAGTTAATAAAAATCCTGGTCTTGTATTTGCTCTATTCATGACTTGGGGTCCCTTATTGGGGGTAAGGGGCTGGGATTATATCTACCAAAATGGCAATTTGAATGGGGAAAATTTTGAAAATGATGATTATCGAGAGGATGGAAGGTGTTATCCTAGGTTCTTTTAAGCACTGTGCGAATCCAACCTATCAAATGTACGCATTGCTTTGCCAGAACAAATGCTCCGATATGTCATCTACCTGGATGTTACCCAGGCAAGGTGGGGATTTGCATTGAACACTGTGGATGTCATTCATAGCTATGTGATTTAACAGGTGAAAGTGGGTAGGAGATGAGGGTTCGAACGACCGTGGATTCAGTTTGATGTAATCAACAAAATGGAGGGACCATGAGGGACTAAAGATTCAACCCATAGAAGTGAACGAAGATTCTAACATATATCAATCATATATCCAAGTTGTTTTTTGCAACAGACCTGGCGAGTTGGAGCCCCCAAGTTCTGGAGGATGCTGCATGTGATGCTCCTCATTCAAAGCGCTTTGAACTCGAGCACGGGCTGCATCCCTGGACTTTTTGTTTGAGGGCACAAGGGAGGAAATCTGCAGATATAATCCCACTCCCCCAAATATTAAACACCAATTATGTGGTGTTAAACCGTGGTTTCTAGGGGGGGTAATATTGGGGGAAAGGGATTTCAAACATATTCCAAGTAGCACTGGTAATACGCCAGTATATGTATATATATAAATATATAATACATATATAATATATTATATATATATATCATATCCCATCATTATATGCCATTACCCTCTGGTAATCAAAAGTGCCAATGGCAAATCCCCACATTGACTTCGATGATTTTTGTATTACTTCAGGGACTTCCGATAGGTATCTTAACCTCCAGCAATCAAAGATAACAATTGGAAATCCACCATTTATAGATGATTTTCCCATGAAAACCTTTATTTAAAGATATTTAAAGTAGGTTCTTCCAGCTTGCCACCTCGGATTACACCGGAGTGGCCTCAAACGTCGCTTCGTGGCAGCTGCAGCCACGGCAGTTGCCTGTTCCACGGTGCCTTTGGTCTGCCGCAACTTCTCCTGGTGAAAATTTGGGTTTTCACCCGGAAAAATGGGCCGTTACCCTCTGATAAACTAACATAACGAACTGGAAAATCACGTTTTTAGTGGGTAAATCAAATATGTCTATGGCCATGTTCAATAGCTATATTAGTTTACCAGAGGGTATATATAATCTGTATGGCAATGGGGAATCCCTCAAAAAAAATAAGGTTTGTAGCTGTGAAAACATGTGAAAACCATCTATAAACGAGAACTTTCTATTGCCATGTGTGATTTTTCCGCTGAGCACCTTCCCAACTTACATCCAAAGTCCCATATATCAGCGTTTTTCAGATGTTTTTGTTATCATATGGGTAAAAACTCTCATGGCTGCTTTACAGCCACGTCCAGGGCTAGCCTGCACCATGCTGCTGTGCTGCTGTAGCCGTTGCAGCTGTTGCAGTTGCTGACTCCGGCTCTCCAGTGTCGCGTCTAGCCGTGCCTGGAGCATGGCTAGAAAATGGACAGCAAGCAACGTCTTATGGATGTGATACAAAGTCGGAAAATAAGTGACAAAAGAAGATTCATTTAACAGTAAAGCAATTGTCACAAACCAGCCATGTAAATTCGTGGTTTATACATGTTCGCCCCAACCCGGACGTTGCTCCACACTTACAATCGTCATGATCATCATGATCATCATGATCATCATCATCATCATCACCATCGCATCATCACATCATCACATCATGATCATCATCACATTAAAATTTGCCACCCCCTCTGAACAATATGATGACTGGGGTAATAACATCAACTTTATCTTCATGAGGGGTCAAAATTCGCCACCCCCTCTGAACAATATGTTGATTGGGGTAATAACATCAACTTTATCTTCATGAGGGATCAAAAATCGCCACCCCCTATGACAAAATTCGCCACCCTCTATGAACAATATGTTGGTTGGAGTAATAACATCAACTTTATCTGCATAAGGGATCAAAATTCGCCACCCCCTAAGCCCTATGAACACTTGAGAGCAGGCGAAGGCGGACGAAAGGTAGTGTAGTGGGAGAGGAGCGGTGTCAAAATGCTGCGCCCCTAAGATGATACACCAAAAATCCAAAACGTTTTTGCGCAGTCTAAGATGATTTTACCCAGAGCATGACTGCATGATACGGTGTCTTGTGCAGCATGAAATGATGCACGAAAAGGAGTTTATTTAAAACCCCTTTTTAAGACCCCTTGCAGCAACTGTTATTGAGGCTGAAGCAAACCAATTATGCTGGACTACAGGGACATCTCCCTCATGGAGAGTGTGCCTCTACTGTGGAGGACCGTGACGGCGTCACCCGTGGGAATTGAACCCATGACCATTTTAGGGGGGGGCCTTTCCCTTATAATTGATATCTAATACATAACGTCGAGAATTCTACGTTTTCCACGGGCTGGCCCCCCAATACCCCCTATGATTGTGCTGAAGCACGGAGAACTCAGGTAGCTGACGCTACCTTTCGTGAATATTGGAGTAATAACATCAACTTTTTCTTCATAGCCACCTGAAGTCAGACGCGGCGCAACGTCAGGGTTGCAGCGTACATGTTTATACCACCCATAAAAATGGTACCCTCTGATAAATTAACATAACGAACTGGAAAATCACCATTTTCAATGGGAAAATCCACTATAAATGGTGATTTTCCATAGTTATGTTAAGTTATGTTGAATTACCAGAGGATAAACCTGGGGGGAAAACTTCACCACCCATCGATGAATCGAGCCTGCCAAGACTCCGCCAGGTCCTGCGTGTTTCTGGTGGTCTCCTCCGCCTGCAGAATCTGCTAAATTTGTTTGCCGCTTCCAACGGTTTCTAAGGGTTTCTAAGGGTTTCTAAGGGTTTCTAAGGGTTTCTAAGGGTTTATGTATATGTGCTTCAAGTTATAATCGAACTTATTCGAACTATGGGGGAACACCTTGTAAATATAATTACGGGGGGTTCCATGTTCTTTTTCCTATCATCCAAGTCGGAGACTCCAGTGATTGAAGATGATGCTAGCCTGGTGGCAGTGAGAAACTGACCGGAATGTAGCTACCATACATCCAGCAAGTGAAGCCCTTCCCGCTAAGATTGAATAATCCCATCCCCTTAATTTACAGTATATTAAACACACTCCCCAGAAACCATGGTTTAGTAGGGGATTTCCATATAATTGGGGCCATTTAGGAGGTGTTTAAGATTAGAGGGATGGGATTAGTTTGCCTAGAAACCCTGGTTCAGCATTGGATCTCTTCATTTTCGGGCCTTTGCGTGGAACTTCATATTGGGGGAAAGAGAATCTTCGGCTATGGCCCGTCAAAACTGGTGTATATATATATAATTATAATATATATATATGATTAATAAAAGTATATACTGTATGTAGAAATAATAATAACAATAATAATATGTATATATATATATGTATATATATAAAAATATAGTAATTATAAAACTATAATTATATATATATAATTAATCTGGTCAATACCCATGTGCTTTCCACGAAGTTCAGGGACCCCATGGGTAACACAATGGCCTACATGATCTGAAAGATTGATGTTATGTCTCAAATCAGAAATGCTGGCTGATTTTGGGGTTCAACACGAACTTTATGGCTGTGAACGGGGAAATATGGGAAAATATGGGGAAGTCCTGCATGGGGAAATATCATGCCAAGCTTTAGATGAACTACTTGACTTGCCTGCTGGGATCTGAATTTGTAAATTTACAGTATTTCATCTAAGCCGATAGCCCCAATTCACTGGGACCCGACGGCAGCAATGGGTATATCGCCACCAATCAGTGTAAACATGTTGTGGGCCAACATGATGCTGACGTATCCCTAATCTTAGATATCTAAATGTGCCCAGCAACAAACTTGTGTTTCGTCATTGGTCTGCCAAACATCAACCGATTGACCTGCCAAACTCAGGTTTAGTCAACTTGGAATGACAACTGCTTTACAAAGGGTTAGCTTGTGGGTGAGTTTTACAAATCAACAAACGAGGCTTGCCCATACTGAAAGCACCTACACGGGCCGCGCAATCATTAGCATCAGTGTCAACCAACAATGAACTATAATTCAATGGTGGTCTGGGAGCTTAAAATCTCAAGAAATGCCTCGGGTTAAGCATTTTGGGGGCCAACCCTCTACTTCAACAACCCAGGTGGATCAAAAACTCATGCAAAATCCGGACTTAACTAACTTCCATTAATCTATATAACATCATCTAACCATTTAGTTTCGAAGATTCTCAAGTTTTTCCAGCCAGCCATGTTTCATGATGTTTCCATGATGTTTCCATTCCCGAAGGCAGAGGGAAACATTCCACCGCCTTGGACTCCAGCAACGATGAGACTTGCTGCAGTTCAAAGCGTTGCGCCAACAGCTTGGCGGCCGTCGCGGCATCTGTGCTGCCATCCGACCTAGAGACCCGCTACGTGTGGCAAACTCAGGCATCAATCCTATAATCCTAGAACTGGCTTCCCCCTTTTTTCCTTCCAACTGGCAGTATCTTATCCCATTGCCAGTAGAAATGGATCAACACTAAGAACAGTCCGAAGTGGTCCAGGTGGGGCCCAAATTTCCGTTGAAGAAATACAGATTGGCTGGTGGCTTCACCCCGTCCAAACCAATAAACATACATTACATAAATGTTACTGTTGGTCAATTCAGATCATCATCATCATCATCATCCGTTGTCATCATCCGTTGTCATCATCCGTTGTCATCAGCTTCAACAAGAAATCATCATCCCAGTCCCTTGGGATTAAGAACCTCCTTTCAGTTTATGCGTGTTGGCTTTAAACAACCCTCGAGGACTATAGTTACATCCCCAAATAAACCTCCATAAACCGATAAGCCATAGAATTGGTGTAAACAAACCCCATAAGCATAAGACATCATAAGCCATAGCATTGGTGTAAAGGAATAAACCCCATAAACATCAGACTATATAAGAAGACTATAGTTAATCACATCAGAATCTAGATATAGAGATGTAACCATGACATATTTAACATACTATACTTAATCACATCAGTAACATAAGTTACATCCCCTAGAGACCACAGGTCATAACCCACCTTTACATCTGCTCGTCCAAGTCGCCGCTGGGACGTACCGTACGTATCGCTGGGAGATTGTGCCTGGCACCGTTGAACAAACGCTGCCATGCAAAAACTGGGATGATGGGTAAACATGGCTGGAAAATCCACTAGAATTGGTGTTCTAATGGGAAAATCATGGAAGATCCACCGCAATTTGATGACTCCCATGAATTCGAAGGTCCATTGAGTTTGGGGATTGATTTCCCGCCACGGCCATGAATACCGGAGGGGCCCATGAAACATCCCAAGTTCAGAATGGATCGCTTCAAGGTGTTTTTTTCAATGAAACTACCCGGCCGTTTTGGGGATGACGATGACGAGGATGGGGTTGGTCTCCAAAATCATGCAAATTCATTCGATTGACTTCAGCCATTCCGAAATTTGCGGAACATTTACTAAGATTTACCAGGTACAGGAGGTAAAATTGTAGCTGGTTAGTAATGCATCTTCATGCTACGATTTTCTAACCTATGTAAACCTTGGACAGTTGGTCAACAAATTGTCGTCTTTCTTTAGGGTTGCCAGGTTTCCCGGTTTCATCCCCCAATCTTGCCACTGTATCCCCGGGTTTGTGGCTGAAAAAACTCCAAAGTTTACTATCTTTGTTGATGAAAGTTCACCGTGCCATGTCTGAGTGGTATACGGGGAATGGGCCATGATCCTGATATCAGTAGCGGTGTTTCACAACATGTTTTTTCCCCAACCCAAAGGTAGGAGATCCTACGTTTTGACTCATTCCCATTTCACCTGGGTTTTCTCATGATAGACATCATTTTAGTCAACAGTTATCTAAACCCTGATCTTGGAAGCTAAAAATCCACCACATAATCACATGACAAAATTAAAATCCCACATTCTATTGCTGTTTGTTTGCTAGTTACGGCCATGGTATGGGTGTGTGTGTGAACATGTGGCATTTCCACTTTTTTCAATTATGGCAACTCCAGTGTGGAATAGGATGATTGACCATCTCAAGGAGCTCAGCACAAGCTGAGGTCGAGATTAAAAAATCATGAAAGCACAATTCAAATCTAGCTGATATCCAGTCCATATCCATTATCTTTCATCATGTTTTCCATATCATTGTCATTCAAATTTCGATCATTTTCCATAAATGTCCAATTTGTTTGGTAGTTTTCCCCATGTTTTTTCGTGATGTCCCAGCAACCATCACCGCCTCGCACCTGCGCCTGCGCCGTGGAGCTGCACGAGGCCGTGCATGCGAAACTGAGAACGCTGACCTCGTCTGCGGCGCGCCTGGCTGTGTTGAAAGTTGGGCTCCAAAAATCTGTGATCTCGTTACCCCTTGGTAAACAAACATAGCTATTGAAAATGGCCATTTATAGTTTATATATGTTGATTTACCCATTAAAAATGGCGATTTTCCATAGCTATGTGAGTTTACCAGAGGGTATATTGTGAAACGGGATGTTCATGGAATAGGATGTAATGGGATATATATATATATATACCCAACTTGATCTGATATTCTTATCCCAGAAAATCCCAATGACTCATGAATTACTTGCAGGATCATCCCACTGATCGTAAGTGGTTGGTAAGTGGGATGGTTTATAAATGGGATGACCATCTTAGGGGACTTACTAACCAGGGTCACTAATCACTTGAATGGATATCATAGATACTTCACGGGGATATATATATATATAACCAACTTGATATAATATCACAGTTTAGTCCAGAATATCCTGGACACTGGTTGACGCCTCAATATCGTATTGAATCTGTCCCCCCCAAAAAAAAAAAACATGATGTCCCATCATTATTTTGAGACACATCCTGTAATTACATGTATGCATTATATCATGTCCACAGTTCAATCAGTTCAATTATTAGTTCAATACATTATATAAAATCAATAGTTCACTGATTATCAGTTCAATTATTAGTTCAATAATAGATAATTAATCAATTCCATGATTAATATTGATTAATGATAATTATTAGTTCAATCAAATCCACATTGTTTTGCTGGGCAACCGGCCAACAAAAACCAGATGCATTGTGTCATGGTCAGAATCAGAACTTGGGGAAATGGCTGGCCGTGGGCATGGCCCGTGAATATTAGTGGTGGTTGTTGGCGGTTAATAAACTATCGATGAACCATTATAAACCTTTACTATTGGATGATCTTTATACTGGTTGGTGGTTTCAATCACTTTACTTGTTCTATTGTCCCTAATGCCGGGCATTTGTTCCATGGCTATGAGATCACGAACCAACTTACAACCAACAGCCCAAGTATAATGATAGTAGTTTTACCCATTTTGCCCCTAGTACTTCAGTAACCATATTACAATCACAATCAGCCGCCAATTATTGGATTACTTTGACCATAGGGTATGTATGTTGTTTTTTTTCCACCAACTAGAGATATCTGTATTTTACAAGGTCAGCCACCAATATGTTACAATAACAATGGGGGCAAGTAACCGCTAAGCTGCTGGCACTGTTTTGAACCAACGCTATCGGGCAGATCGATGATATCTACAATACATGGTTTTACTGCAGGAGTTTTTACACCCCCCTCGGGCGAGCAGGGACGACTGCGGAGAACGAATAACCCAGAAAAGCATACCCTCGCGGGTAGCCAAATTTCTTTAGTTGGTTTTAGACATTTTGTGCAGTCTTTCAAAGGTCCCTCTAAAAAGCTCAAGCCCGTAAAACCCAGCGCAGCGTTGCAAGGAAGGCACAATACCATGCCACATCTTGCGCTATGCTACAAAAGAAAATCATCGTCTCCCTAACGGTTCCAAAAGATCCAACGGCCGCCGGCCTCGTCACGGTAATACCAAGCCCCACGCCAGAAACTCCATTCTCGGCGTGCACCATAGTGATCACGATTCCAACTCCAAGAGGCATCCGGGCGACCGGAGCTTGCAGCCTTCGAAGTGACTCCTGCGGTTGCTGCTTTTGCAGTGGGCGGTGTCTCAGGCTCCAAGAATGGTCGTGCTCCTGCTTTGGATGTTGGTGGTTCAGGTACCAGAAATGGTGCGTTGTTGGGGTCAACTGGGGCATCAGCGTGCGAGGCATCTGCGCGAGCAGAGCTTGAGGCGGCTGTGTCATCTGGTGCGGTTGCGGATGCATCAGCTTCGGCTTTGCGCTTTCGCTCAGTGGTGGGCGCGACCGTGGGGTCGGCCTTATGACCTCCAGGACCTCCAGCCTTTGCAGCGGCGCTCTGCTTCTCTTTGCGTTCAAGATTGCTCCGAACCAAGGGAAGGTTTTCCTCATACACCTTTTCGAGGAAATCACGAGTGCCATCAAAAGGGACTTGGACAGTACCCTTCCAGGTCAACAGGCCACGGAATGCGCCACGACGGCCGATGTAGCTGACATATTCATCCTCTGTAAAAATGTGGCGGCCAAACATGAAACCCCAGACCTTCTTCCATGTTTTGCGGAACTCAACTGGGAAGCCATCAACGCCACGAGGCTGAGACATGAAAATCAACTTAGATAAGCAGTTCTCATTTTGGGCATTGGCGGCGACGCCAGCCGAGATCTGAGCTTTGGTCCTTGGGGGATCGGGGAGGTTGCCATATGCGAACATGTCGTCGAATATGCAGTCCTGCAGGTCCTTCCCCTCACCGTGGATGCGGTCGCAAAAAGTGACGTCGCTGGAGTATCTGTCTTCCACGTCCTCGTAGCCCAGCGCTTTTGCACGTCGATGCCTGTCGCGGCAGTCTTTGAGGACTGCTGATTCCACGGATGTGATTCCCCTGGGGCCCAGTTCTCGGCGTAGCAGGTTGGCTTGCTCTTCCGTCAAGGCTGTCAGCAAGCTTCCGCTCATCTTCCCAAACATTCCAAACCCGGCGAGACTTTGCATTCGCCGTTCAAGGATACGGGTCCTCCTGTTGGGTTTGTTGGCCTCTTTTGTATCGCCACTTTCGTCCACTGGGAGTGGCTCAAACCCACATGTGGTGCATGTCACTTGGCCACTGACGTACTCAACCTGGCAGAGGGGACAGGAGCCCATGAAAGGTTCGCAGTACTTGGGTGCAATGTAAACACGGCGCGTCCTTGCGGGCGGCTGGTCAACTTGCATTGGGGCAGTGGCTGCATCATCATCAGTGGACTTGGCATCGGGTCGCCCCGTGCTGGTGTCATCCATTGGGTCGTCATTTGCATCATCTCGGGCAGTCAAGGTGACCGCTTTGGATTTCGGTGCTGAGGCTGATGCCGCGCCAGTCCATGAGCTGGGCTCGAGATTGCTCTCGGCGCGGGACCAAAGCACCTGTCCTTCTTCTGAGATGCTGACCAGAAACTGCGGTGGGATGCGTTCTGAGCACAAAATCCCATCCATTTCTGTGCGACTAAAGATGACACCAGCTTCAACTGCTTGCCGCATTGCGATTTTGACTTCGATTGGACATTTTGCTCTTAATCCAGATCGATATCCCTGCGTGCCAATACAGTGTTCTGCCATGTAGATATGAGCACGGCCACTGTTGACTGTCGCACCGCCGCCTGGAATCAGGCCATTCTGTGCGATGCTCTTCCAGCTGCTTTTCATCGTGCGATGGAAGACAACCTCAGGAACCTCAGTCATGGCACACAGGGGCACGCCAGTGAAGGCAGCTTTTCGCTCGGGGGATACATGGTCTGAGCAATACACCATGGTTGAATTGGCATAAAGACCCCCTGCAGTTTTCAAGGCAGCTTCGGAGTGACCCTGAATTGCACGGATTTTCACAGGATAATACGGCATGCCTAGGCCATTGTCGACAGGAAAATGGGAGATCTTTGCACACAAGAATTGGAACCTACTCTTGCCATGCTTGTCGATCTTCATTGCGGTGCCAAACAGGTTTGCGACAGTGATGAAAACATCTGGGGGCACTTCCTTGCGGAAGGCTTTGGCGAAATCCTCCAAGTCAATCCAAAGGTCTTTGTCCATTGGCACCTTGGCACAGGATCCATGCCCCCTGCAAACTTTGTTGACACGAGTTGCAAAATCAGAAAACTTCTTGTCGACGCGAGTCTGGCTGGCAATGGTCTCAACGTCGGATGCCGATATCAGCTCCAGCTCATAAGCCGTACCTTCAAAGAGGATGCCGGGCACATCGTCCCCGTCTGCATTGGTCACCATTGTATATTGGTATTCAGGCAAATGCTCTTCCATCCAATATGCTTTCACGTGGCCAGATGCTTGTCCCTCTAAGCGCGCAGTTGCCTGCGGCTGGTACTGGCTGGATGTGGCTCCCTTGTCATCTGCGGGCTCATCCATTGATGCTGGTGCTGCTTTCGGCCGCGACTTCAACATGACCTCAGCTGTCTGGACCAGGATTGTTGCTCTGCTGGATGCAGCGGGCTCGCCGTCGCCGGCGGCCTTTGGAGGGTCATCTTTGGGAGGCTCAGCAAACGTGCCCGAAGGCATCGTCTTGATGTCGATGTAGTCCTCAGTGTCTGGTTGTTGAGCTTCGACGTCCTCCTTGGTGAATGACCTGCCCGTCGGCACAATGTGTCTTCGGGACTCTCCAAAAAGCAACTTGGTGATGTTTGCACATGTCTCCTGATAGGATCTTGGCAGCTCGTCCAGGACGGCGCTCATGTTCCTCCGCAAATCATCCCATGTCTCCTGGGCACACTCAGAAAGCTCCAAACCAATTTGGCCGACCCGCCATCCGGAATCAAGTGCGAAAAGGGTAGCTGTCCAATAGGCAGCAAGGCGCGTGCGATTTTCTTCAGAGTTGGCGAAATGCCACTGGTCTCTGAATTCCATTGCATCGGCGTACCCCTTTGCTTTTAGCCACGGATACCGCGGATTGGCACGCCCTTGCAGGCTGCTGGTTAGAGCTTTGAATCGGGGCTCCAAATGGTCGAAAAATTGATCGAAGATTGGATGAATGCCGTAATCTGCGCTCCAGGGCGCGGTCGTGAGACCGGCCGTCTGCAAGTCCAACTCCCGGGCCTTGTTGATGAACCATGTCAAGTGGCGCTCACAATCATCCAGGATCGTGGGCCAGTGCCCGTTGGGACCATCGTACGGCCAATTTGGATTTTGGGCAATTCCATCCTCTCCTACCAATTCATTTCCGAACCAGGACAAGTGCAGGTTGATGCGTGCATGAGGATAGCGCTCGCGGGCGTCCGCGGCCAATTCAATCCCACGCTTGACCAGCTTCTGCAAAGTTTTGCCCCAAAGCATCTCGTGGATGAACTCAGTCACGTACTTAGGTTTGCGCTGCCGGTAGTGCTCGGACAGGTCAAACTTCTTAAGTGTTTTCCTACGCCCT